CGAGGACTTTTTGAGACAAAGACTAGTCAAGACGGGCGACAGCGACGCCCGTCCAAAATGAGTTTAAAATTGAAAAAGTAAGGACGTCAGGGACGGTACATAGGACAAGTTGCAGTCTTGTGTGTAGTGGACGAGTTCGGACTAGTCTAAATGGAAATATGTAAGGATGAAGATTAGATTCGAACATGCGTACAATGTATTACTTACCCATTGCTTAGACCATTGAGCCATATGATCAAGAAATTAGCTTCAACATAGTCATAATCATTCTAAGGTGCTATTTAATAAAATTTTACTTAAAGTTTTTTATGTTCACATTTAAGTAAAAATTATTTTTTACAGAATATGACATTATTTGGACAACATTAAAAAAATAATCCAACAAGTTTGTATATTTTTTGGAAAAATATCTTTCGATTATCATTAAGGAGAAATAATTAGTTGCGTTAAAAAAAATAAATTTTAAACGTAAAAATAAAAAGGCTATTTATATTCAAAAGAAACCAGATTTCTTCATATGATGGCTTAGTTTTAAATTAAAATGACCATATCTTCAACTAACAATTAAATTAACTTTGCTTAATTTAAATATATTCTTAAATTTAAAATTATTAGAATTTATATTTAAAATAAGATAACATAAAATTATGACATAAAAAAATTTTAATTATTCTTCAGTTTTTTTTAAACATAGTACATCTAATAATATTAAAAAATATAAATTAATATTCCTCGCTACGAGATGAATATAGTTCATTATACTTACTCCTACTTTTTTGTTAGTTTTGATATACTCTTACATTTTCAACATATGAAAATACAAAATATAATAAGATATATGAAGACAGGAATGCACAGAGCATATTATCTATTCTTGACCTCGTTGTTGATTATAGCAGACTCTCTGATTGTCATTCTACCTAGAGAAATATTTATAATACCTTGGCGAGCGACATAGTTTTAATATGAAAAAATGCGTCTTGTTAATTACCGTAATCATAATATAATAGATCAATTTTGATCCTCAATCCAGAAAGATTTGAATACAAGACAGGCAATAAAACGATTGTGGTCCTACTATCTAGTTCATAGATTAAATGTATTTGATATTATCCATTGATTAATTTTAACAAACGATATAGATATTGAAAAGTTTTCTACCTGCATTCTTAGTTTCATTATTGATCAGTTTAAACGAATTAACAAGATATATTTGATTCAAAAAAAGTGGGTTGTTTAGAGTTTTCAGACTAGTCTGACTAGAACGGGTGACATACTCTTTAAAAAAGGACTAGTCATGACGAGCGCAGACGACGCTTCGGACTAGTCTTGACTCTATGAAATACGTTTCAGACTAGTCAAAGTCGTGTGACATCGACTGGTTTCTGATTGTCTAGTGGATGGACGAGAGTCAATTTGGTATCTTAGACTGTATAAATTGACGTCAGTCTATCTCAGTGTCCTAGTCTACCATCAGGATGCCCGTCCGGTTTTGAATACTGTCGGGTTGGATGTTCGAATCTATCTTCATCCTCTTTTTTTTAGTCTTCGGACTAGTCTGGACGGGTTCAAAGGACGAAATGGACTAGACATGACTGGGTTCAAGGACTTTCTGGACTAGTCCAGACGTGTTTGAAGGACATTTCTCCAAAAGGTGACTAGTCATGACGGGTGTGCAAGACGTTTCAGACTAGACTTGACGGGCGTTGCGGACATTTTGGACTAGTTATGGACGCCGTCTTTCGTTATTTTTTGCTCACTTGGGTAAAGTTCTTCGAATGTTGGTTTTAACCATTGTGCAAGATCATATATGATATGTATATTTCTTAATTTTTCATCAGGTGACTTGTTTGTTGATTGTGATTTTTGTTGATGATGTTCATCCTGATCTTCATCATCAGGTAAGTTTTCTGTATCAATAAGTACTTGTTCCAACTTATGTATTTTACGATGGTTCTTTCTTCTTTCCATACTAGGAAAATATTTCATGCATATATTACATGTTCGTCTTAAAATTGATTGTTTAACTGATGCACAAAAATAGTCAAATGGAATTGATGAAGATTCCATTTCATTGTGAACAAGATTATTTAATTGTAAACGTTGAAATAATGATCCATAAAATCGGTCCTGTTCGGAATCATTTATAGCAATAACAAGGCCCGACGAGGCTTGTAAGAATGGAATAGGTGGTGGTAAAAAACGTTGAGGAAATACTTGAAAAAAATTTGAACGCCACTCGCCACAACAATCTGATGAATCACAACGAACAATTTGTAATGTATATTGTGATTGTAATACATGTCGATCACACCAAAATTCATCAATTTTTGAAGATATTTGTGAAGTAATAGACGAATTAACATAAGAAGCAACTACAGGATGACAATCAATCACTGTATCAGACCAAACTTCAGCAAGTACTTCACCAGCTTTTTTGAAATTTTGTTTTTCCAATTCAAAATCAATTGTATTGCCATTGGCGTCAAGATGTGTACCAAAATGATCGTGAGGTAAGATAAGACCCGATAAATCGTGAGATAATGGTGCCATACGACGCTCAACGGCATTAAATGCTGATTGACCAGGTGCGTGAGCAAGCACAAATAATGCATCAAGATCGTGGGTTTTGAATATATCAATAGATGAAGCAAGTGTTTTTGGAAAACGAGGATTTTCATCTGGTCCACCGTCGAGGGTGATAATAACAATAGATTTAACTTTATTTGAAACATCAAGTGCAGCATTTTTAAATTCTTGTAACTTGACCAAGTGAGTAAAATCATCTCGATGATTAGCTGATATGCTTTTATCATGTTTAGCTGAACGAATAGCAATATATGTTGGACCTGAATAACCAACTTCTCCAGCTTTATTAATGAAACATGCAGCATATACACTAAAGGAAACAAAATAATTTGCTAAATATATCATAAAAAATTTATTTATGTTACCTTGGGATCATTTGATGACGAGGTGCTACAACAAAATCGTGATCAGGTAATTTAACAACATAATCAAGATGCATTAATAAAGGTGCTTGTTTTTTAGCAGCTGGTAAACCGATAGGTACTTTACATTTATCATCTTGTGAAAGAAAAAAACAGAATCATTTCCAAACAATGAAGCTAAGTCTTTTGCAAATCGAATAGTTGCAGCAGCAAAATGTCCATCTTCATGCTTCTTATGAAGATCATTTTGTGCTTTTCGAAGACGTACATTTACTGTAGGAACATGTTTTTTACCATCAACTGAAAGTGCACGACGAGGTAAAAGACTAAAATTAAGATAGAAAAGTTTAATCATTTTTATCGTGATAATTACCGATAATATAGAGTAGTTCTTTTAATATCATAACCTTGTGTTTTTAATGCTTCACGAAGATCATCAAGAGTCAAACAAGTTCGAATACTTTCAGTTCTTCGTCGATCATCTCCAGCTCCACCAATAGCAGCAATTTCTTCGATTGTAGCAAGTAAATCTGGAGATGCATCATCAACTGGAGGACGACCAACATCTTGTCGAAAAGTTTTTTGTAAAACATGACGAACATCAGGATAAGACTCTGTAATTGCACGTAATTTATTTTTTTGTTTCATACGTAAACGTTTTTGAGCATTAGCATGATTTTGGAGTCGTTTGAGTAGGTATGATTTCGAGCTTTTTGTTTAAGTAAAACATTCAATTGTTTTTCATTTTCAGCTGTTGATAAACCAGCTTGTGTTTGAGTTGCACAAGTGTTGCGATACGTTCATTTACTTCAGTTAATTCATTAAAAACTTTTTCTTGTGCAACACCACGTAAATGATTTTGTACCACGTTTTTTGGTTTAGCATTTTTTTGTGATTTATTCATTGTCAAATTAGCACCAACATCATTTGTAACAGTAGAATTGATTGTTGTAGTAGCAGATGATGTAGATGATGGAGAATCATCAAGAATAATAATGTTCGATTTTGTGGATGAATTAGAATTGGAATTCTTGGCCCAAAGTAGTAAACTATTTTGTGCAAGATTAAGTTTGTGTTTGGTGGAATATTTTTCAATTCGTTGTTGGATCAATTCGTCATTATTTTTAATTTCATTCCATTCAGCATGCATTTGGTTATATGCATTCTAAACATAGTTCCATAAATACATTTCAATAAAGAGATATTAGATTCCTACTTCTTTTTGTAAAGTTTTATGACAACTCAAAAATGCATCTTTAAACAAAACGTATTTTTTTGATTTATTAGACGACATATTTTATCAGATACAAGATATATTTGTTATTGTTTATTTTCTTTTTGACTCTGTTAGTATGACTTATGCTCCACCACTATCTAATCGGCGCTATTGTTAATATCTTTCAGTGCTTTGATAGTAGCGCCTGTTTAAATTCAGAACTTTTTTGCGTAATTCGGATACTACGAATTTTAACCTCTCCGTTTTTTGAAAGCCTCGATCTTTTCCGCTTTCCATTCGAGCATACATGGTTCGAATCGATCTTGGATAGCTTCACAGTACTTTGTCATGAGGGCTTTTGGATCCTGGACAAGGTTGTCTGAGTCCATTAGTAGAGAACGAGCACCGGTCATGTCGGTTAAGAAGTCAAATAAGACTTGTAACTCGCAATATCCAGCAGTGTCAGGATCGTAGATGTTGACACTACAAAATTGGTCCATACCACATTTCCCACTAGTATCGCAACGATAGTCAGAGGGAATAGCCTTTTCTGGCGTACGAAGCAGGAACGTATGTTGGCATCTCTTAAAAAAGTCGACTGGTAGAAGTGTCGGATTTTCTGGATGCAACTTGTAATCTGGTCTTATCACATACCGTGCCATCTCTTTGACGAACACCTTTTTCTTCTTCTCGCTTTCGGCGTTGAGAATTTGATTGGTGATATCATAAAAAGTAGTCTTGGCGTCGTTGTGCCTTGCACATTCTTCCTCACTGAAACGTTTCACAACGTGTTCGGGACCAATAAAGTAGGGTTCGGTAAAGGGTTCGTGAAAGCAAACATAGTCTTCGCGTTGCATGAAAGCACGTTCGAATGCAGTTGAGACTGAACGCGGATGACACCAAAGGAATACGATTTGTGACTTCATTGTGAGAATACACGCGGACTGTTAAGTAAAGCAAGAGATCAAACAGAAAAGCAAAGGGTCGATTCAGTACTAATGCAAATGAGCAATATGCAAAAAGATAACGTATTGTATAAGAGAAGAGCACAAAAGCTGTCTCATATTTTGTTTTCGTTTTGCTCGTAAAAAAAGATAACGTAGCGCATGTGAGAAAAACGCAAAAACAGCATAGGCGACTCCCACATAAAGACTCATATTGATTTTCACTTCACATCTCTTTTATACTTTTTCTGTCACACAAGGGAAAAATCATAGGTTAGTCCGTCCTACTTCGTCCCTCTTCTTCCTTGACAATTTGGAACACAAACCACTGATCTTTTTTGAGACAAAACGCCATTTGTAGTAGGAGTCCCATGGAAAAGTTTCCAAGTATGAGTCTCAACTTTGAGTGGAATATACTGGGCTGCTCAAAATAAATGGAACACTATATTTTTTCGATTATTTCTCCACACTATTGCCGTTCGGTTCAATTTTTATATCACAAATATATGCTTGATTAGTCGACTTATCTGAACGTTTCAGTTTTATAGCATGAAAATTGGTGAAGAAAACTGTGAATATGTCTCAGGCATCCATATGCTATTGAAACCAAATTTTGATGTTTGATTGATTTCTCAGTTGTTTTTATATCCTATTTGAGATTTCGATTGATAGTTGGTTATGTCCTAGGCACGCCTTTTACAAAGAGATATCTTTGGTGATATTCCTATATCATGTTATCAGTTAGACTTCCCACTGAAATATCCAGACCAAAAAACAAAAACCTCTAAGAACGGAAAGTTTGACTCTTCTAATCCAATTGTCGTCTTTCTATCATTTTCCCAAACATTAAACTTGACCAGAACCACATGAATTGTGCTCGCCAATACTAAAATGACACTAAGTTCATTCCGACAGAACCATCTTCGACCTAAGAAAAACTCAGCATAACCACAAAGCTCAATACTAAAACATTGCATTCCAAATGATAGAAGTTGTCGACACTGTAAAAAAAGGTTTCAGAATTTCTACCCATAAGCAAGCCCTTTTTCTCGTTCCGCACAATTCTACCAAAACATTTTCTTCATTTTCGACGATTCCACAGAGCTAAAAGTGTTTCCAAAAAGACCCAAAACTAAAAAATCGTTCCGAAATTTCATGCGAAACTCAGAACTTTTCTAGCCTTCCTGGCTCTACCAAAACTTATTCTACATTTTCCATACCACTTTTTTTCCGATGTACAGTCTTTTCTAAGCTTGCTCATCCATTCTACAACCTACAGCGTTGAAGAACACAATAAATCTTGCCGAAAAGACAGAATTTCACGTATATCCCGATCTCCACTGCATTCAATCCTTTTCCAAATGATAGACATAACCAAACATCCTCTCTTCTGTTCGTTCTACCATTCTAGAACGAATTACACTCACCAACTACGCCAACATTATTCAACGAGGGAGAGACTCCTCTATCGGATCATGTCCATTTCATCGAATTCTTCTCAAGAGCATAAAACTCACCAGCATGTTCTCTATTACTTACTCCACGATTCTGAAAGCAGATGAATCAAATAACGAATCAAACATTATTCGAAGAGAGATAATTTCACGCATTTTACGATGTCCACTTTACCAAATCACTATCGAGACGATGAAAGTTGCCCATCACCTTCTCTCTCCTCTGTTCGAGGGTGTGGGTGTGGGTACATCCACATTCAACACCCACACCCACCCCACCCTACCCGCACCCACACCCACACCGAAATTAAAAACATTAAATATTCAATCGAAAGCATACTGATTTATAATAGTCATTTACCTTGATGCACCGCATACTATGCGTAATATAAATATAAGAGTAAATGTTTGCTACATGTAATGATACAACTGACTCATTTTACTATCATTTCCGATTATATGGGATATGATAGGGCTTATAGCAGCGCTTGGTCTCGATTGTTGAAAACCATAGTAATATTCAAATTCAAATTTGTCTTCAAAAACAGTATGCATAAATAATCACCTATTGATCTCGCATCGTTTTGTACTTCGTTCTTGCTCGAAGAAAAACATTGGTATGTGACATATGATCGATGTATAGACACTGGTTATTCACTGTTATATTCAACTCCTTACTATGATAATAATTATCCATTGTACTATATGCAAGATTTCATCCACACCGTATCAACTGCACCGACAACAATACCATTACCTCCTACTGAATCTCTCATGGTTGACTATTTTGATTTCGATATTCCAGAAATGCTGCGTGGACTTACACATATTACTCATTGGTTATTAGACGATTATGGTATCTGTCTCGATGCGAAGCTTAGTTATGCTACTGTAAAACTTGACTTATCACGAGTTAGAATATTTTTTGATTACCAATATGAGATTGATATGTTGAATGATGTACTTATTAGATTTGTACTTGATTTATCTTGTTTACGGATACTGCCTGTGTCAAGTGCCGTTCTGAAATTATTTTTCAATCATCAATGGCCAAACATTATTGATCTTCGATTGTCATCGAGTAACTATGATCCTGACGAACCTTTGTCTCTATGCTAAATTGATGCCTTTTGTTGCTCGTTTACTCATCTTGAAAAGCTCTCTATTTCAGTTGATACATTCTGTGATCTATCTCAATTTTTCAGCAACCTAATGCCGACACTATCAAACATTTTCATTGAACAAAAAATGAATGAAAATATTGTAAACAATGATCGAATAATACAAAGAGATTGGATTGAAAAGAACACACAATTACACAATTTTTATTACTTATGTGAGAAAATTAATACTGTACATCTCTGACTGTAATATAAATATTCGTTCATGTTCGATGGAAGCATTTACGTTAAAGAAGTAATTAAATCTTTCAAGAATTTTCGTTCTGACATTAACCATATGATCTATTAATTCGAGAAATAAACCTACTGTTATATAAAAAAAAGTTACATTGATTTTGCTGTTGTTAATTTCTTTTATAGATTGTCACGAAAAAAAAACATGCGAATTTCTTTCTTTAATAAAAACAGCGCAAGTTTAAATAAATTTTCATCATTATTACGTCTTCATGGAAAGTTGCGATAGACAATTCTATGCAAATAAAGATTTGTCACTACTAGACTGGTAGTGAAGAGAACATCTTGCGTAAGATTCGAATTGCTCTTTGGACAAGGTAACTAAATATTTGGTGCCGCTACACTCAGGAAGTGTGATCTTTTGATTATTATCGCTGAAACTAATAATGAAGTAGACAGTCCGCTTTGGCACGATGAGATGTATGCAATTAAAAAGCTCTACGAAATAAACGCTCATTCTAATTTATCTAATTCAAAATATTGCATCAGTCATGGAGATAGTCGCGCTCGCTTCAATATTCCGCATGACATCAACATTTTCATGGAAGCCTTCCGAAATACTGATGACAATCGTTCACTTTCTGAATCCATAAAAATTCATTTTGGCCTAATTACAACATTGCAGAGATGACCAACAACCTCAATAATCCTAATTATGATCATGAATTACTACTTCGTCCAATAAGAGCAAAGCAGACATTTCTGTGACTTGATAATTTTCTCATAGCACAATAGTTCTGATACAATCTTTGTTTTCATACTACACAGCGGTCATGAAGATACGAATTAATTGCAATTCTACTTCTACATTTTTCTTCAAAAGCTTGTAAATGAGCTACCATGAATCAAAACCAATACAAAATTGTCATGTGTTATTGAATCTTATGCTAAAAAACTAAAGATATTTTCAGGAGAATTTCATGAATAAAAACAAATCTCAAAGTGTCGAACGACATAAGGAATGCAACACTCTCGAAACAACCTGTTTGTTTTCAGATCTAATAAAGATTGAGCTGAAACATAGACATTACACTTTTTATTCTGAACACATCAACAAAGAAAGGGAGATTATAAAGTTGTAGATCAGCTCAAAGAATCTTGTTCATGAGACAGCTATTATCTTATATCACGTGAGAGAGTACGTTGAGATAAGGATTTCTTCGTAACATAACTTATTATTTGTTAGTAGATAGATAAAAAAAGGTTGAATAAGGTCAATATACAATGCTTTTCGATCAAAAAATTTTTTCAACTAATGTATCATACGGTCTTCTAGCTTCTTTATAAGTATTTATTTATTTTCTTCAGTGTTTCGGACTCCATCGTTGAAATATGACTCTAAAAAATCTCGAAAAATCCGTTCAATGGAGATTTTTAATCTTTTCAATAGAGGAGCGAATATCAATAGTTTTTTAGCACAAATAACTCTTTGTATTACTGACAAAATATTTGATATGAGAAGATATTTGAAAGAGACATAGACTTCCGTAAAAGTGCCAACTTTGACTAAAAATTAGTAGTATTTCGAATATTTGTTGTATCAAATCTAATGCGATGGATAACTGAATATTAATATATAAATTATTATCATAACACATGTCAATAGTTGATGATTTGTTTATGGTTTGTATTTATTTGAGCAATAAAAATATTGGAATGAGCAGTAATAAAAACATGATTTAGCAGTAACTTTCGAGCGATAAGAAAACTTTATTTGAGCAATTTTATAATATTAAATGAACAATAAATAGTTTATTAGATAACAATATTAATTTCATATTTGAGCAACAAAAAGGAGAAAAACTACATTATTTTTATTTACAATTGACAAGAAACAAACAAAAAAAATGAAATGCAGGGTGGTCCATAAGTCACCCGACACTCTTGTATTGTGAATAACTTTTGATAGGAACAAGATATAGACCTGCGGTTTTCACCATTTGAAAGAGCAATGTTTGGACCATCGATCTAAATAATATTCACTAGGACGAAAGATGCTTTTACATAGGAACTTTTCAATTGACATTCTTATTTTTGTGCATTTTCATAAATTTTCACATTAATCTCGCCTTAAATTACACCAAAATATAGCTCAAATCACCCATTTTTCGCTATAAAAGTATCATTTTATGTACTATTCCGTCGATCTCTTTTTGCAAGTGCTTCTTCGAAAAATACTGATCATTTTATAGCGAAAAATGGGTGATTTGAGCTATATTTTGGTGTAATTTAAGGCGAGATTAATGTGAAAATTTATGAAAATGCACAAAAAAAAGAATGTCAATTGAAAAGTTCCTATGTAAAAGCATGTTTCGTGCTAGTGAATATTATATGGCTCGATGGTCCGAACATTGCTCTTTCAAATAGTGAAAACCACTAGTCTATATCTTGTTCCTATCAAAAGTTATTCGCAATACAAGAGTGTCGGGTGACTTATGTACTACCCTGTACATTTTATGTTTTATTTAAATTAATTATTGCTCATTCAATATATTTATCGCTAAATTTGATTATTGCTCATTTCAACTATTTTATTGTTCAATTAAATATAAGTCTTTGTTTATTCGATGCCTCATCAAATCTTGCTTATTTCGAAAAAAAAAGTGCTTCAGTATTATAAGTGATAATTCAAACGAATGTGAAAATTCATTCTACCGGATAATGAATCTTTCGAGATTCAATTAGGATATTTGTTAAAAGAAGAACGAACATAGCTGAGATTGTGTTATTAAATCTTGTTTTTCTGTGTAGCACGTGACACTTACATATAAATAGATCAGCTGCTAACTAAAACTATAATTATAACTAAGTATCAAAAGATAGAATGAAATTCTCATAGTTTCTAAATAAGATTTGATTATGAAAATAAGTTTAATGATATATCTGTTATTTCTATCAACAATCCTGTCAATCATTTGTAATTAGAAGTTTATCAATGGCAAGTAGAATCTACTTACATGTAAAGTTTCCTAAGATGATTTCTCCATTTATAAACTTTTCTTTAGTTAAGTTTCTTAGAGTTTGAGACAAGTGGCATCTAGAAAGTAGTATTTGGCATTTTACGCAACAAGAAAACAATCATGCTAATGTTATGTTCTTATTTGTCATTAATTAGACAAAATGATATCATCATGGCAGAAAACAGATTTTGATTCATCGAAACATCGTGTAAGATTTCTTGTTGATGTGACTTATACATGGTTTTGTGTATTATTTAAAATAGACTTCTGATCCTGATCGAATAAAGAATATTAATAATTATAATTTATGTTCAACAGCAGAACAACATCTTGTCAATTCTAACCCGCATATATCTAAAACCACTGTTAAAAATCAAGTATCTCAGAAGAGTTTAATCAAATGATACCAAAAGAACTACAAATAAGAAATTTATCAACAAAGTTGTATAAATAATGAAAAAAACATTTCAGAATTTAATCAAAGTCAGAAAACTCAACTTATAATTTGAGTTGAAATGAAACGAGTTTTCTAAGAAATGAATTCATAATTTTATTATTTGCTTCGTCAAGAAGTGTCTCAGTGCTTTCCTGCATGCTGATTAACTTTTATTCAGCAAACAACTTAACTTCATTCTGATCCTATATGAAATTTGATACTGACAATTTCAATGTGATTCAAAGCATTAGTTTTTTTCCTTTAGTTTTCATGTTCATATAATTTTCTCGTCTATTACACACCAGCTACTTTAAGAAAAGTTTATAAATATACAGATACACAAAGAAAACAACCGAAGCTCAGCGAAACTCACAAAAAGGCCATCAATTGCCCCACACTGTATGAATTTATATTTTGTGTATGAAAGGAACCCAGTGAGACTAAGAAAATCCGAAAAGAATTCGGGTCCATTGCTATTGGTTAATAGTTATAAATTTTTTTACTGAAAAATCAAATAAAGAAATTTTGATCTGGAATTTTGCCAAAAGATAGATTTAATAGTTCTTAAAATACATCGAAAATTTTCGTTAAAATGAATATTTCTTTCTGGAGATATTTTGAGCATAGTCTAAGAACTATTAGATCTATCGTTTGGCAAAATTCCAGATCGAAATTTCTTTATTTAATTTTAATCAGAAATCCTTTCCATCGATGGCATATGTTCTTTTTTCGTTTTCATCTATCTATCTATTTGCCTGAATGTATATGTTGTGGTCAAATTTAGAATTTGCCTAGTCAAAATTGAAATTTTTTTGATGAACAGAAGTAAACAAAAGAGAAAGTTAACATACTAACCAATTTTGTCTTTATTTTACAATAGTTTTAACCAAATATCTTATGAATTCTAAATTAATTTAGTTCATGTTTGAGCATTCACTCCTCTTTGAATGACATTTGATACAGCAGAAAAGTTTTTTTTTTCATGGGCATATCTGCGCCGCACATTTGTCTCAAAAATTACAATTATGTTCGGCTGTGAAACCATGTGTCATTTTTGAAAAAATTGAAAAAAAACAATGTTTTTTATGAAAAATAATTTGTCAATATAGGGCTTGAGAACGTACATTTGTAGGCAAACCATTTCTGGATTTAAAAGTTGCTTGTTTCATTGAATTCAAATATAGAAATGTTAACAATCTAAAACCAGTTCTCATTATCGAAGCTTGAAAGCTTTATTCTCATGGTCCCACACTCGATCATACTTGTAATTTTCAAGACAACAGTGAGGCGAAGACATGCCCATAAAAAAATCTTTTCTGCTCTATCAAATGTCATTCAAATAGGAGTGGATGCTCAAACATTTCAGGAGAATGATTCGGACAATCGAATTCGAGCGGATTCCTGTTAGATCCGATCAGATGATATTGGAATTTCTCTAAGATCGACGAAACCCTATGAAAATCTGGGTTACGAAATGATATTTGGATTCCGAGTGAATCCTACCACAGGACTCTGACCGATCTCTATTATTGCGATAAGATGCTAATTAGTACTCTACTAATAAAATAGGACTCACCCGTCGGATTCATTCACCTAGAATAGACTAAATTAATTTAGAATTCATAAAATATTTGTTTAAAACCTTTGTAAAATAAAAACAAATTGGTTAGTATGTTAGCTTTCTCTTTTTTTTTCCTCTGTTCATCAAAAAAAATTTCAATTTTGACTAGGCACATTTTAAAGTTGACTGAATTTTAATTTTGACCACAACATGCATATAGAATAAATCAATTTCAAAGACAAAGATAAAAATTGGACTAAACATATCGAATGCATCGACCGACTGTGATGTATGTATGACTGAACATATAAATAGAATAGATGCAGTTCAGTTCAGTTCAATAATTTGCTATTTCATTCTGATCATTCGAATAATATTGATAGAAAAAAAGTAAAATCAGGGATTTTGATCCTTCATTTGAGAAATGAAAACATCAACTTCAAAAACGTATGTAAAATTTTATTATTGTTTTAAATGAGAGTTATTTATTTCAATGATGATTTATACTGAAGTACATATTAATAATAATAAAAGAGAAATTTTATTCTTCTCTATGGAAAGCAATTAAAATCTAATATTAATAAAATTCGATTTTCTCGTTTCAGAACTCAATCAATTGAAAAAAAGTAAACAAAATAACAAAAATATGTCAAACTGTTCATCATTTTTTAAAAGTGAAACTGAATTTGAATGTACAAATAATGAATTAACTTATGAATCAATATCATTAATCAATAAAAATACGGAAAATGATGAAGAACAACTAAAAGAAAATTCAATTTGTTCAAGTAAAGATCTACTTAATAATGGTTTTTATGTATTAAAAACACCATCAGTTCGTCCACGTCGTATTCATCAAACCAATGAATGTAGTAAACAAATCTGTGTTCGATATGTTTCGTAACGTTAAGATCTATTCGTTTTTGTTTAATATTAATCTTATTTTTTAAAAGATTTGATTCACCATCAATAAAAGTTGTTCGTCGACGACGTGTCATCGAATCGATTTATTTACATGTTCAACAAAAGTAATCAGTTTTAAATAAAAACCTTCTATTCAATTGATTTCTTATCGTAGGAAAAGTATATTTGAAAAATTTATTCATCTATTTAATGGAACAAAATCATCAACAATTTATGAATTAGGTTTACAATTTTTATATGTTTATAATGGATTATTTAATTATCGAGAAGGACATACTGTATGCATATCTTAATTGATTATTTTTAATTTATTTTTATAATTTAGTTTGTCATGTTTTGTCGAACAAATATTTGGTATTTAACTATTGACAAAATTAAATGTAAGATTATTTTAAGAATAAAAATTTATTCAAAACAAATATTTATCTCAATATAGATATTGATTGTCAATTAGATGAACATGGACCACAATCAACATTGATACTCAATTACAAAAATCAATTTACTTTTCTTCAGGTTTAGCTAAATATTTATTATAATTTAAGAAAAAAATTCTTTGAAAATCAAAATGCGATGTCTTTTGTTCTAATTATTAATCTATTGCCTGTACTTTGTTCAATAAATTCATCATTTTACTCAGTTTATAATTCGAAGAGAAATGAAACAAATTTTCTTTTTGTGCTCTTTTTTTTCAATGTGAAAAATATGTCAATCGAACAAATCCTAATAACTTTCGACGAAAGTTATATGTTAGGTAAGCTGACAAGAGACCAAAAGAAAATATTTTCTCCTTTCTTTTGAGTTTTTCACTTACTTTTTCTTGTAGAAATTTTCCGAAATAGAAGAAATGATGAAAAATAATTCAGTAAATCTCTATATTAATCCTGTTGTTATCTATATCAAATCAATTAATCAATCATGCGAGAAATAAATCAACGAATATTCACCTAACATTAAATTGTTGATAGTGTCACATTTTTCAAGATACTTAATTTATATTTCAATTCCATAGAATACGAAAATGATAGAATAGATTGAATTTGATGAATTTATTTTTATTTTCTTAAGTAGCTGTTCATCAATCATTCACAATAAGAAAAAAAAATACGTAAATCATAAAATGATCGTTTTACAAATGTTCAATTATTAACTTTATGCAACGTACCAAATGATATAATACATGAGAAATTAAATAGAATTCTAAATACATTATTAACTGACTATATAGAATTTCCATCTGAAATAAGTTTAAAATACGTTTTGGGTGTGGGTTTGGGTGTGGGTTCATTTAATTACACCAACACCAACACCCACATCCACCCACATCCACCCACACTCACACACCCACACCCACCCACACCTACATCTGTAAAACAGTAGATCTCGTCACTTTTATTCTTTTTCATTTTTTATTCAAGAATGTTTATTGTCGATGAAAGTTTTCGACAATATTTCGAGTTGAACATTCTCGGATACCTAGAAGAGTTCATTAACGCGTCCTTCAAGTACAAGATCACAATTACCACCGCCTCCCCACCAAGGAGCACTCTCTGCTGTAGCAATAAGTCTAGCTGTGTCGTGGCTGGTAGACATTCGAAGATTTTCCATGTGTTGGCTTTTCATCATTTGTATGAGGTCACCGGCAATTCTATCGCCTTTCTCTATTGCCAACTTGATACCATTGTCATATTGATGACTAATCTGGCTTTGATAATTGAGCATTGTACCCGATGCAAAGGATTCTGTTCTGTATGAACAACTCCACTCTGCGTTGACTTTGACCCGCGTTTCTTTGATTTCACCACGAGCTGTCTTCGTACACGATTGTACGTCTTTTCTCCGTGACAAGCCAGAGTGTCGGACGCGTGCTCTCACTTGGCACAAAGTAATCCATTTGTCACCTCTTCCACTGGGTGGTATTGTCAGACCCTCTTGTGCCAGATATTGGGTAGCACGAGTTTGAGCAGCTGTTGTAATCGTACCCTGAAGAAAAGATAATGAAATGGATTGTGCCAACCAAGAACTTGTGAAGACTATTAATTTCACATCTAATGAAGTTGAAGAGGATGTCTCTTCAGGTATAAAACCGCTTTGAACTTGAGAATAGTATGGTTTGATAGTAGTTACCGACGTGGGAACCACTTGAGGTGTCAAAAAGCTTTTGAGCTGAAATTTTGCCGACAAGTAGGGGATACATAGACTAGAAAAAATCTAAAAGGATATGGGCCCAAGTTGGGATTTGACTGAGATATCGACTACTTACCATAATTTTCCTATAGAACCCTACTTGTCCAATAAAATCAAAGTTTTGAATTTAGACCTGAAACTTTGTCCACACCAAGGCCCCAATTAGACAAGCTTGCCTACAAAGTTTCAGAACTCTGGGATAGACTATCTCCGAGATATGAATCTGCCAAAATATCTATGTGAAACATTATATCCATAAAAAACGTCTTTATGTTAACATACTAGTATCTCGGAGATAGTCTATCCCATAGTACTGAAAATTTGTAGGCAAGCTTGCCTGATTGGGATCTTGGTGTGGACAAAGTTTCAGGTCTAAATTCAAAACTTTGATTTTATCGGAGAAGTAGGATCCTATAGGAAAATTATGGTAAGTAGTCGATATCTCAGTCAAATCCCAACTTGGGCCCATATGCTTGTAGGCTTTTTCTAGTCTATGCACCCCCTACTTGTGGGCAAAATTTCAGCTCAAAAGCTTTTTGACACGTCGGGTGGTTCCCTTGTGAGTAGTGAAAGAGTTCATGATGGTTTGGGTGTCTCCCTCTTTTTGACTCAGACGCTAAATTCTCAGGTTATTGCCGATATGAGCTAAAACAGAGTTTTCTCCTATCATAGAGAGAATGAGAAATTATGAAAAAACATTGGTAGATTGGTAAATAAATACTATAAATCATTCATGAGCTCAGACAAAGAGCTAATACACACGGATATGGTGATAAAGTACTTATTCATCGATCTATCAAATGCTTTTTCATAATTTCTAATTTCGGTCTACGATTGAAGAAGTCCATATCATCAATACGCTGAACATTTGGCATCTGTGCCAAAAAGAACCAGGCACACCAACCCTGATAGGCTTTTTCACTACTCGTTGACTAATATCAAATGGGACTATTCTCGAGCTCAAAGCGATTTTACATCTAGAGACAGTCTCCAGTGAGCCCTATGTCGAGTATTGATTGTCGTTCACAAAAGTTTAGCAGTCTACTTCATCCGATGTATTTCACACATACGGTTGTATGTAACCCAACTCTATCAATGATTCGGAACAAATCTCTGGCGTTGGTTTTATCACGCCGAGCTTTGTTCGAAATCATTAGATCAAACAGTTCACTCGAGCCATAATTACTGATGCAGAAATAAGATGATGAATTTACTTACTATTTTGTGTTGCAGTTTGGGTTTATAATAATTAGTACAGACATCATTCTGAACAGCATAAAGAAGCGTTTGTTTTGCTCGTTCTGCTACATCCGAATAAGAGCAGAGACCAGTTATTATATGCTCATTATAACAGCCCTGTAAGTGTCCTATTCCATCTCCACTAGCAGGATTTTTTGGATAGCCCGAGTGTCCAACGGAGCCATACATTCCGGTGACCCAGAATGTAGGCATTTCTCGAACGATACCAACCATACATGTTCCGTAGCGGCTGACTGTTGGACTTGGTCGGGCAAGCAAATCTGCGTAAACCTCACTGGCCGGTTGAGATTTAATTTTAGAAACCAGCTCCGTCTTTTCAGACTGCGTGATACCGATGCCTTTCCATGATTGTGCATATCCATGAGCAGGATTATTACTTCTTCCGATACCGTTCCACTTTACAGCCCATTGAGCAGGTGTTTCTACAGAAGAATGTAAGAAGTTTTCTACTGCATCGACCTTATTCCAAGTTAGTATAGAAGCATTTCCATTATTACTGACTTTACCAGTATGATTCCACACAAAACTTTCATCTTGTCTTAAGATGCTAGCGAAATGGACTTTGAATTCACAGCACTTTACAAAAACCGATAAGCTCCATTTAGAAGAAATACAAAAAAACACAGAGGACTCACGGAAAATTGGAATGTTTCAATCCGAGTCAGAAATCGGTGGAATCTCTAAGGACTGGCAATGTTTTCTCATTTTAGGTGAAGAAACATGATTTCGAAAGATGTATTAGCTTACTTACCTCCATCGGACAATGACAGCGAGAAGGACTCGGAATACAGTGATCCGAGCAAAAATGTAATTACCACAGCCAGGAGATTAAGAGACCAAACCATCGTTCTTGTTCACCTAATTACAAAAATCACACGGCAATGGTCAATCATCAACGTTCCAACTCATGAAAACTCAAATGCGCTGTGTATCGAATTGATCTTCGAAGCTTACACATTCTTCTCTTTGAAATTTATTAGACTCTTCGTCTTTCAGAAAATATCTGCTCGATTTTCTGGTTAAGCTAAGGTCAGTAGTTAGTTAGTGAAAGAAAAACACCAAGAAAGGTTCTCTCTGTTTGGATAATAGACTCTTACTTTGTCTTGACTGTGCAGAGAGGCAATGATCGTCTATTGATGTCTGGATTTTTTTACATAGAAAGACAGAGAAAGGAGAAAAAAGAAAGTACAACTAATCTATCATTTTAGGAAGTGATAAGTTGCTTTATGGGCAGGCTATCGAATTACTATAGTTTCTATCTTGTCATCATTATTTGCTTCAATACATTTCTCTCAATAGATGATCATAAAAAACATTGGCTTCAAGCGGGAAACATGAGTAGATAAAAGCGAGAGAGGAAATTAGCGCGTGTAAGGAAAATGTCAAAGTGAAGATCGAATTTCACTCTTGAGATATACTTTGATCTGACGATTGAGAGATTGAGGTGAGTATGGTATATGTAAATCAATTCGAAAGAAAAAGCAAGATACTAGAATTCATAAAGAGTCACTCACCATCATCTCACTTATCCATAAAGAATTATTTTCTCATTCATTTAGATTCGTCTCAACATCCACAGTAGATATGTTCTATCTAATACAAAACCTTAGATAGGAAGCATCATTCAAGG